CATATTCTTTTATAGTTATTACCGTAAATCATGTTTGATGATCAATATGATCAATACTTGTGATTTTGATGTATGTATCATATATTTTTAATCAGTTATTTATATAGATTTTGTGAAATACGCAGTAAAAATTATAACCTGCTTACTAAAATTACAAACCCTGCTACAAAAAATAAACAAAAGATTGGTCAGCAAGTATTAAAAATAGTCAAATTTAAATTTCGAATGGGATTTCAGGATTTATTACGAAAGTTGTGCAATAGTTACACGGACATTTGACCATTATAATGCATTAATCTTATTACGGGAATGATCGGTGTGGTGATTTGTGATACTTAAGCTGATTAAATTTGTTCATTTTGAAAAAAAAAAAAAGGTCCTTACTTTTACGAACATTGTCGGATTTTTTTTTTTATCGTATGTACGTACGTAGCTGGTATCGGAGCTTTATGTTGAGTATGCGCGTTTGAAAATTATCATTTAACAACAATTATTAGTATATATAAAAAAAAAAAAAAAAATAATGCCACCACCAACGCAGCAACAAGGACAAACTTTATGGTTTTCAAGGTTCACAAACTTAATAGCTACGAGTTCGGTAGTTAGATATGGAACTTTAATATTTCTTGTAGCTTTAATTAGTGTATTATATTTTGCCACCACACATCAAGTAATGAAAACGTCAGGAGGAAATGCAAGTGTTTATAGTGAACGTATGTTCGTAACCAACAACCCACTTTCACCTGATAGTAACGGTGACAATAAGATAGTATATGACAAGAGTAATCAAATAGGTGATATCAAAAGTGTGAATAATAATAATGTCCTAGGATTTTTATATGATCGTGGAAATGGTTGTTTCCGTTATCCTAATTTGAATAATACAATAACATCTGTTATTCCTCCTGAAATACCTACAAATTTTCAATCACGTAGAATAGGTTTTATTTTAGATGATTCATCATGTTCATTAGATAAACAAATACGTTTTTCTATTTATGATAATGATATTGGACTTATTATTTATTCA